GTAGCAGAATACTAACCAGTGCCAGAATTTCCATGGCAGCTGAAATTAGGCCTTGAGCAGCCCACCCCTCCCTCCCCTGGCTTGTTAGCAATGAGGCCAACTCCCAGCCTCCTCATTCTTTAGCAAATGTAAAACTCAGTGGAACAAAGTATTGGAACATGTATTAGTCAGCTTTTTGTCTCTGTGACTGAAATATCTGACAAGAACAACTCAGAGGAGGAAAAAGTATTTTGGCTCATGGTTTCACGGGTTCAGTTAATGGTCTGGGCCCAAGGTGAGGCAAAACATCATGGCAGAATGGTGTGGTGGAGGGAAGCTGCTCAGCTTCTGGCAGCCAGGAGACAGAGAGAACATGTGAGGTTCCAGGAACAAAATATAAACCCCAAAGGCATGCCTCTAGTGACCTACTTACTCTAACTACACCCTACCCACCCACAGTTACCATCCAGTAGCGTAGCACTGCAAAGTATTAATCCATCAAATGGATCAATCCACTGATAAGGTCAAAGCTCTCATAATCTAATCATTTCATCTGTGACCATTGCTTCATTGTCTCACATGGGCTTTTGGGGGACACCTCACATCCAAACTGCTCTGTTCTGACAGAGCAGCTGCGGCAGTAATTACAGATCTTATGTCATCTCCCCTTAGCACACCAGCCCCTAATATCCTCTCTTGTCTTGCTCCAGTGACTAGAGGTCTGATTGCATCAGTCACCTAGCTATAAGTAGGAGGAGGCAGATAGATGAGACCCAGGTGAAGCTGGTCTACACACATATCTTTACTTTTCTCCTTTTTTAAATTTGAAAGCAATACATTTACTCTTGTTTAAGTGGCAGATGGATTGCTCTTTGGCTATAGGCAAACTTCTCAGAGGAAAGTAACCCATATGGCCTGAAAGAGGAAAAGAGGGCAACTGTCAAGATCTGCATCTAATTGCTTAGCAAGATCAGGTAGAAAGCAACTTCCAAGAATACCTTACTCCCCCTGCCTCAAATGTTTTATCTTTATTAATTGAACTCTCCACAATTAAGGAGTAGTCATTACTATGATTTCCATTTTGCAAATGAGACACCTGCGGCATGGAAAAGTAATTTGTTCAAACTTACCCAACATATAAATGGCAGAACTAAGATTGACTCCAGAAAACTTGGCTATTCCACTGTGCTCTCATGAACCACATGGCATCCTGTGTCATAGTTTTACATAGAGTATGATGTGAGCATGAAAAATAAATTTTGCTACATTTATCCAATTCTGAAGCTCAAAGATCACAGCATATAATTTCCGTTTCCTTTAGTCAATGTTTCCTGCTTTGCTGACCAAATTTTTTTCTTTTGAAAATACAAAAGAGCACATACAACAGGAACTATATACAACACTAGTTTTTCTGAAATAAACATTAGTTCTCCTTATCCTGTTCCCCTCATTTTTATGCATCCCTTTAAATCAAAGAAGTGTTTTGTTTAACATATATATCATCTAGTGTGAGAGAAGAAAAATAAATAAATAAAACAAAACAGGAATCCTTTAAATGACCATGCCAAGCCTAGTGGGCTTCTTGTTCAGAGCCAAATGACACTGCCATCCTCTTTCCCCCTAGATGTGGAGAGGATGCACAGGGAGAGATTTATGTTTATGATACTCCTATTTGCAAAAGCCATGCAGTTGGTGATAGAGAAGCTTGTTCAAAAGCTGACAAGAAGAAAGCACAACAAAAGAAGGAAGGCATTATAGAATTGATGGAGACTTAGTTCTTAAAACCCAGAAGTAATAAGATAGCTGGAAAATGTTAGAAATCTCCTGCCACATTCTGAGTCTTCTGAAGGAGAACCTGAAAACTAGAAGAGTTAGCTAGACATCAGCACAGTGGAATTAGGACACTAGCTCTTGACTCCCAGTCATGACTTACCTGGACTAGACAAAGAAGACTAAAGTTAGGGCAACCTCACCATGCTCTATCTGGTTCTCACTTTGAAATTGCTCTGG